GGTTGGAGAATTTTTAGTACTTCAGAGAATAATAGACCTTAATAAAATATATGAGCCATATTCCCGAATCTTTTTCCAACTTCACTATCAGAGTAGTTGTTACTCTGCCCGGCCCTTATAACGTCTACGTAGCCTTGATGAATTGGAGAATTTTTAGTACTTCAGAGAATAATTGACCTTAATAAAATATATGACCCATATTCCCGAATCTTTTTCTAACTTCACTATCGGAGTAGTTCTTACTCTGCCCGATCCATATAAACTTCTAAGTAGCCTTGATGGGTTGGAGAATTTTTAGTACTTTAGATAATAACTGACCTTCAGATAATATGTGAGCTATATCACCAAATTTTTTTCCAAAAATTTTCAATTTATTTTAACAATTACTCAGGGGATATCGCCTAGTGACGGTCGGAAAGAAGTGGAGGAAGAGAAAAAGTTAAGAAAGCAGGTTAGTGCGAACCTGAACTTAGTAGTCGCAATTTTTATTTACTCGACTGCTTATGCGGATAATTGGGTATAACTTCATACTTTCAGTTAAGTAGCTTTCGATTTTTTGCTATAAAATAAGGTTATGATTTAAAAACAAGTAAGAAAATCACGCCCGGAATCTTTTATATCCATTCCCCGTTTTCCTATGCAAGATTGAAGAAAAAGAAAAACATAATTTTCCACAGTCTATAATATTAGATTATATTTTTGTAGAATAATTTTGTGGAGCGAGCAAAAGTCACGGAAAGCAGAAAAGTGTTCTCAACTTTGCATGGGCTATTTTCAAACTCTTCACACGGATAGGCAGACCGATAGACAGATATACTTAAATCGATTCGGAATTTGATATTAATCAAGAATGTGTACACTATGTGTGGGAGAGTTCGGGAAGGTGGTGGAGGGGGGGGGGGGGGGGGTGGGCGTTGCCTGAAGCTACCCTCCTGACGTTGCAAATGATTTGACAAAATGAAATTTTTTTATTGCTTCCATTGCCTGCCTTATGTTCTATCGTCCGTCTTGAACGATATAGTCGTTTGCCATACCTATCTCATTCATTAAATAATCGTGAGAATGAATTTTTTATTATCTGAAAATTGTTTTAGCGGCAGCTTCTCAGTGTACACTTGTTAGAATATTGATTATTTTTATTTACATATCATCTTTTTGTAAATTGAAGGTTTAAATCGCAATTTAAACGATATAATTAGAACAAACGATTGTTTTCATTAGAACAATGCTACAATGCTTAGAAGCGAAGACAAAAAAAAAAAACAAGAAAAGAAAAAAGAAAGAAAACTTTAATCATTAACATGCAAACGAAAAAAAAAAAATTCTCCTAATATCAACAAATTTTTATTGAAATGTATTTAATATATTTTTTTTCCGCGTTCCGCATTCCGCTTTCCGCTTACCGCTTTCCCCTTTCCTTATTCAAGTGACTGCCAGCGTATTTCAACGCAAATAATTTGCGTCTTTCTCGTCTCGAATCATAATTTTGTGTAGAATTTTTTTTTCTTTTTTTCTTTCATAATAACACAACATAATAATAAATACAAGATATTAATATTTATTATAAAACATATTCATCATTATATATATATATATATATATATATATATAAATATTACGTGCAATTATTATTGCATATGTTGAAACACGAAAACACAATTTGTACCGTACTTTCCTCTTAACTCATTCATGCTTAGAAGGGCATTGACTTACTTGCTTTTGATCAAACTAAATCATAATTGAGGAAAAAGAAAAATGCAAAGGAAAAAGCAAAAAAAAAACATAAAATAAGGATGAAGGAGAGAGAGAGAGAGAGAGAGAGAGAGAGAGAGAGAGAGAGAGAGAG